ATATTTTTTATTAAAAATTATTTTATTTATTTGAAAGGCAGAGTGACAGAAAGAGAGGGAAAGACATAGAGAAAGAGGTCTTCCATCCACTGGTTCACTCCTCAAATGGCCACAATAGCTGAGGCTGGACCGGGCTCAAACCTGCCTGGAACTCCGTCTGGGTCCCCTGTGTGGGTAACAGGGCCCCAAGGACTTGGATCATCCTCTGCTGCTTTCCCAGGCACGTTAGCAGGGAGAGGGATCCAAAGTGGAGTTGCTGGGACTTGATCTGGTGCTTGGATGTGGGATGCTGGCATCACAGGCAGCGGCTTAACCCACTGTACCACAACGTGGGCCCCAAGAGCGAACGTCTCAGAAGCACATTTCTGAGTGCTCTGGTCACTGATATCACAGCTTGAAATACAAGGACTCTGTGGCTGGATTACGGAGCAGGTGCACCCCAAGGACACAGGATCACGCAACATCACGGTTGGACTAAATAACCCACCCTGACATTGGCAAGGCTGAGACAAGAGCACAGAGGCCCTCAGACCTCAGGCATTTAGATGTCACAAATCTAGATAACACAGTTAAATAAAGCAGACTCTAGCTTCCTGCTTTCACAAATACACATCCACCAAGTCCCAGAAGGCAGGTTGAGATTTGGAACTCTTGGACTTTGAGTTTCGTGGGGGAGGTGGCTGCCTGCCCCTGGCCTTGTCCCTTTTCCTTGGCGCTGGCCCCCTGGCACACTGGGGAGGAGCCTGGGGGCAAGCCTACCTATGTGACCGCAGGGCACAGTTCCTGGTTGGCCCATTCAGGTTCAGGGCCTTTTGGGCAGGGAATCCTGGGGTCCTACAAGAGCAGTTCTCAATTCGGCGGTGACAGCAATGTCTGGAGGCAATTTTGGTTGTCAGGGCTTGGGGGGCATGGGGAAGGGTGCTACTGCATGTTCAGGGAGACACCAAGCAAGCTATGAGACAGCCCATGTACAGGACAGCCTCCGCCACAAGCAGCTATCCGGCACAAAACAGCAGTGCTGAGGCCATGTCCCCTGCACCAGGAGGACACAATCTGTGGATTCACAGCCACGGACTTCCCGATGGAAAAAATTCAGGAAAGAAAAATGTATCCGAAACGAACACAAATGGACTTTTCTACCCCTTATACAATATACAGTGTAACAACAGCTTACATAGCATGGACAGTTTATTAGGTATTCTGAGTAATGTAGAGATGATCTAAAAGTTATGGACAAATTCTACGGCATTTTATATTAATATATTTATTGGGACCAGCACTGTGGCACAGCAGGTTAAGCTGCTGCCTGCAGTGCCAGCATCCCATATGGGAGCTGGTTCAATGAGTCCTGGCTGCTCCACTTCCAATCCAGTTCCCTGCTAATACTTCTGGGAAAGCAGCAGAGGATGCCCAAGTGCTTGGGCCCCTGCACTCATGTGGGAGACCCAGAGGAGGCTTCTGGCTCCTGGCTCTGGCCTGGCCCAGCCTGGCTGTTGTAGCCATCTGGGAAGTGAACCAGTGATGGAAGATTTCTCTCTGTTCCTCCTCTCTTTCTGTAAATCTTTCAAATAAATAAATTAATTAAAAAATAATAAATACATTTATTTTAGTATTAAAGTAATAGCATATTATTAGTACTATAATATTTAAGTAATGTTGTATTTGTAAGTATTTTGTATTTATATTTCATGCATGGAATTTTCTATCAGCAGGGTCCTGGACCCAAGCCCCCACGGACACTAAGAGCCACTGCACTGTGAAATATCTCAGAGCTACATTCCTTGACCGTGGTCTTGGAGCAGAGGCAAGGTTCTGGGTGGGAATCTGGCTGTGCTGTGTCAGAAAGGACGGAGAAGCACTATTTGAAGCGTGCTGGGCAAGGCCAGGGACCTCCTTGGCCAGGGATGAGGGCAGACCAAGAAAGCACCTGGGATCCTGCAGGCCGTAAAGCCTCTTGGGGACCCTAGCACTGGGCGGCCCAGCTTGGTCTGAATGTTTCAACATAGGAGGGACTTGCTGCCCTGCTCTGTATCCGCGGGCTGCTCTCCTGGCACGTTTACAATGAACCGAAATCTCCCTCTCGAACTTCCTTGAACCCTAAGAACCTTCGGCCCAGGGCAAAGGCCCTTTGGCAGGCATTTGTGTGCTTATGCAAGGGCCTAGCATGTTCCAGGCACCTGCAGAACACCAGAAAGAACCACAAGCAAAATTACAAACATGCACACTTTCTAGAGGATGACAAAATATGCGAATCGTGTTTCTCTAGTGGAGAGTCCAACAGTCTAAATAAATAAAACAAATGCACAGAAGTGTACCCCAAACATGGTTGGAGCAGCCTGTTCTTGGTTCTTTCACGGCGGGCTGAAATTAGGCCTCAGGATTTTGTCTGGCTCAAAAGTAAATCCTGGGGCCAGCACTGTGGCGTGGTAGGTTAAACCTCTGCCTACAGCGGCAGCGTCCCACATGAGCACCTGTTCCAGTCCTGGCTGCTCCTTTTCCGATCCAGCTCTCTGCTAATGGCCTGGGAGAGCAGCGGCGGATGGCCCAAATGCTTGGGCCCCTGCTCCCACATGGGAGACCTGGAAGAAGCTCCTGGCTTCAGACGGGCCCAGCTCCAGCTGTTGCAACCATTTGGGGAGTGAGTCAGCAGATGGAGGACCTCTCTCTGTTTCTCCCTCTGTCTGTAACTCTGCCTCCAAATAAATAAATACATCTTAAAAAAAAAAAAAAAAGTAAATCCCGGAGCTGGCAAATGGCGCAGGAGGTTAAACCATCGTCTGCAATGCCAGCATCCCACGTGGGCGCCGATTCGTGTCCCAGCTGCTCCACTTCTGATCCAGCTCCCTTTCTCAGGGACATCAGCAGGGTACCTGGATCGGAAGGGGAGCAGCTGGGACTGAGTTGGCTCCTATATGGGATTTCCACATCGCAGGCCATAGCTCAGCTCCTGTGCTGCTACGACACTGGCCCAGATGGGGAAGATTCTTATTCTTAGAAAATCCAAGCCATATTGTTGCACATATTTCCACCATGTGAAATTCTAAGAGAAGAACACTAGTAAAAGTTTAATTCACACTCCTGTGAAGTACCCAGAGTCTCCTATATAAACATTTTAAGCGCACAAGTAAACATATGTTGATTCTTAAACAAACTAGTTTCTGCTTGCTTAGTTTTTTTTTTTTTTTTTAAAGCATTTATTTGAAAGGCAGAGTGACAAGGAGGAGAAAGAGAGAAACAGAGATCTTCTAGCTGCTGGTTCACTCCCTAAATGGCTGCAGTGGCCGAGGCTGAACCAGGCAGAAGCCAGGAGCAAGGAACTCCATCCGGGTCTCCCGCGTTGCTGGCAGGAGCCCAGGTAATGGGGCCCTCCTCTGCTGCTTTCCCAGACACATTAGCAGGGAGCTGGACACAAAGTACAGCAGCCTGGACTCTAACAGGCGCTCAGATAGAGCATGCTGGCGTGGCAGGCTGCGGCCTAACCTGCTGTCCCACAACACTGGTCTCCTCTCCTCGCTTCATGCTTCTGGAACACTTTGCATGAAAAGTGTATGTACTATTTACCTCTCCTACTGAATGCAGGCGCTGTTAGGTCATTTAATCATCTACCCTTTGCCTGTGTGATGTGGCCTTAGCCAGATGGAAGGAAACAGGGGAGCTATGTGGAAGCCAAACAGATGTCATTTTGTTGTCTTTAAGGTTGTGTGGTCCTGCCATCATGGCAACTAAGAATGCAGAATTCTAACCACGCCAGAGGCACTATGAACCAGGTCAGGCTGTACTGACCACGACAAAACCACAAACAAGGGGGCGCCGGCTCAAGTCCAGGCTGCTTCCCTTCTATCCAGCTCCCTGCTAACGCACTGGGGAAGTGCAGAGGATGGCCCAGGGGCTTGGGACCCTGCCGCCCATGAGGAAGACCCCGACGGAGTCCCTGGGTGGTTATCTGGGTGGTGAGCCAGCAGATCACTCATTCTTCCAAATAAATAAGTATACCTTAAAAAAAACAACAACTAAAAACAGACAAAAACCAGAAACTACAGGGGCCAGCGCTGTGGCACAGTGGGTTAAAGCTCCGGCCTGCAAGGCCGCCATCTCTTAGGTGCCGGTTCCAGTCCCAGCTGCTCCACTTCTGATCCAGCTCTCTACTATGGCCTGGGAAAGCAGTAGAAGATGGCCCAAGGCCTTGGGCCCCTGCACCCGCATGGGAGACCCTGAGGAAACTCCTGGCTCCTGGCTTCAGATCAGCCCAGCTCTGGCCATTACGGTCATTTGGGGAGTGAACCAGCGGATGGAAGACGTCGCTCTCGCTCGCTCTCTCTCTGGCTCTACCTCTCTCTAACCCTGTCTTTCAAATAAATAAATCTTAAAAAGAAAAAAAAACCCAAGATTTTAAAAAAAAGGAAACTACAGAAAGCATCCACTTAAGTTAATCCAATTTCCTTTTTTTTTCTTTTTTTGATTTATGTATTTGAAAGTCATGCGTAAGAGAGAGGGAGAGACACAGAATTCTCCCATCCGCTGGTTCACTCCCCCAGATGGCCGCCATGGCCAGTACTGGGCCAGGCCGCAGCCAGGGGCCAGGAGCTTCTTCCGGGTCTCCCACAGGGGTGCAGGGGCCCAGGCACTGGGGCCACCCTCTGCTGCTTTTCCCAGCCGCATCAGCAGGGAGCTGGATCGGAAGCGGAGCAGCCGGGACTCCCAGGGGCGCCGCAGGCCACAGCTTAACCTGCTACGCCACAGCGCCAGCCGCTGTTGCTAACGTCTCTAGACGGAGCGACTTCAGACCTTCTCGGCATAACACGTACTCCTCGGTCTCCCGGTTCGGGCCACCGCCACCGCCGGCCACACCACTCGGGTCCGAGAGCCGGGTTCCCCCTCAGGGTCCCGGCGGCTTCCTCACGCGCGGCCTCGCCCCGCCCCCGGTCATCCCAGGCCACTCGCGCCCCGAGGCCGCCGTAGAGGGGGCGGGCTGAGCGCGCGGGCGGCGATTGGTTCAGGGCCAGGGTGGGCGGGGCGCAGCGCGGCGGCCTATAAAGCAGCCGGGGGCGCGTCGGGCTCGGTTTGCGTCGGCGCGTCCTGCAGCGTCTCCCGCCGCCTTCGCTGCCCGCACCGGAGCGCGCCGCTCGGGAGTCATGGCGACGAAGGCTGTGTGCGTGCTGAAGGGCGACGGCCCGGTCGAGGGCACCATCCACTTCGAGCAGAAGGCAAGGGCTGGCAGGACGCGCCGGGGACAGGGCCGCCGGCCGGGCCGGGGCTGGGGTCGCCACACCGCCCGCCGCCGCGCCGGGCCGGGGTCCGCGCCACCGGGCTCCTCCGCCTCCTGGCCGCGCGGCGCCCCGCACCGCCGCCCGCGCGCACCCGCCCGCCAACTGCTGAGTCACCGGGCGGGCCCCGGCGGCGGCGGCGGCGGCGGCGGGGCCGGGCCGGGCCGGGCCTGGGCGGGGGTGCGGGACTGGAACGCCCGGGCCTGGCGCGCGGGCGCCGACCGCCGCGGGGTCTGTGAGGGCGAGGTGGAGACCCGCGCGGGGCCCTGCGTTTGCCGCCCGGGGTCCGTGGGCTCCCCCCCCCCACCCGCCGCCACCCCGAGATCCAGGCGTGGCGCGTGCGGCCGGGCCCGCGTGGGTGTCGCCGCGTCCGTTACCCGCTTGGGGCTGCTTCTCTAGCTCCCGCGCTGTAGGTCCGGGGTCTGCGGTTGCGGCCCGCGGCGTCCCCTCAGTCCCAGGGTCATTGTCCCAGCTCTACAGGTTTAACTGGTCGAACACGCCGCAGCGGCCCAGCGTGACTTTATTTTCGGCAGCGTGTTGGCGCCTGAGAGCCAGGTCGTGGTCAGGCGGCGAAGGCAAAGAGGATGGCCTTGGAAAACGATTTTTTTTTTTTTTTTTTTTTTTTTTTTTGCCTTCAAAACTGCAAAAGCCGGACATCTGACTTGGGAATTTTCCAGAGCGCAGATTCTCACAAACAAACAAAAAACCCAGATACCAGGGCTCGGCCCCAGACCAATTTTGTCTTAATTTGCTCTGGTGCGCTCTGAGTGTTACTATTTTGAATTTCCAGGGTGATTTTACCGTGCACCTAAGATGGAGAATTAACACTCCGGAGGCCGGGGGATTTGGAAGTTGCAGAAACCTGGAGCTTATACCTTAGTCAGACTGGCTCTTACCTGTTTTTGGAGCACTCCTTTGGCCAAATTCTCTGCAGAGTGGCTTTGACATTGAGGTTGCTCAGTGGGTCCAAGAACAAATCGTGGGAAATAAAGACTCTACAGCAATTTTTGCAGAGATACTCGTTATCAGAAACTCCACAAGGAAGGTGCTTGTGATAAGATTGTCCCCGCAAGCTCAAGTTGTGGGAAACTCCTGCACTGAGCCTAGGCATTGAGAGAGAGAGAGTAAGGGATGAGTGTGGGTTCAAGTGCCTGTGTTTTCATGAACTGGCTTCACACCGAGGAAGGGGGTCTGGCCCGAGTGCGTCTGGCTGCGTTTCACTTGCCTGGCTTTGTTTGGGTCTGCAGGGAAGTCACAGGTGTGGAGAGCCTCCGATCCCTCGCAGCAGGAAGGGGCCCTGGGGGTGGGCCTGGGAGCTTGTCAGTCTTGCACCTTCCCCCAGTGTCTGGCACGGTTCCTGGTTTCAGCTCCAGACTTCACTTGGGTGCTGCCCTTTGCACTTGATAAAGCCCCCTGGAGAGTTTGGTCTTCCAGCACTACAGATAGGCAGAAGTAATCAGTTGGCTATAAACTGTATTTGGTTTGGCCTATTCAGTGTTGAAGGTTAGTTGCCAACATTTAAAAATCGCGGTGGGTTGGTCGGTCAGTCCTGGTTCCTAGCTCCTGAAACGGTTGGGTGTGTGCTCCTCCGTGCCTGTCTTCGCCGAGGACTGCACTGCTGGACCGTTTGTGTTCCTGTCTGCCTCCCAGCCCCTCTCTCTTCCTTGCTTAGGGCGGCAGCCTGCGCCCTGTAGGATTGTAACCCCGCGGCTCTGGATCGACTTCGTGTGCCGCCTGCCTTGCGTGTGCAGAGCGGTCTGGAAGAATCTGCCCTTGTCTGCCTGCTGCTGTTCAAAGTGCGGCCACAGCCAGAGGTGGTCCTGGGGAGAAGTGCAGCTGCTGTTCCCCCAAGGGAAAACAAAGGGGAGCAGTCTTCCGGACAGACACTTTGAGCCAGGGTCTCTTCTGAGCTCAAGGCCTCGTGCCTCGTCTTACTGTCGACTTGGAAAGCAAACCAAGCTAAAAACAAGGAGAGCCGTGTGTGTGTGTGTGAGTGATGGTGTGGAGCTGGTGCTGTGCGTGTGTATAGTCCCCGAGATCTTTGGGCAACGAGTGGTAACAGCAGCTTCCCTGGTTTTCTGTGTCTGGCCACGCAGCACCGTGGCCTGCATGGAGATCTTGCTGCAGGTTTCCCACCTGCCTTAGCGTGTCGTCACTCTCTCCTGTGTTGGAGTTTTTAAATCTAGGCTCCATTGCCTAAAAATACTTAAAACAGTCTCTCTGGTTAGACTAGACCTGGTCTCTCTGGGGACTGTGGGATAGGGTATTTTCTGGCTGCCAATCACAAATGACTGTGATGGAAATTGACAATACCCACCAAGTGAGAGTGGAGAACGGGTCCCAGGGCAGCCAGCTGGACCTTTGCTGGGTCCTTTTTTCTTTCTCAAAGGCATGTTTGTATACAGTGTTTGCTGTGTGGAAAGAGCGTGTCCATGAAGAAAGCCAGGAGTTGAGCGTATGGTGACATAGACTCTTTGGACTGAAAAGTCTGATGGGTACACGTAGACTCATCACACGCACACACAGCCTACCCAGAGGTATCTTGTAAATGAGCGCGTGCCCATTGGGAGGGGCCCTGCAGAGCACTCGGTCCCAGTGTAAGTCTGACCTTGGGGTGCGTTCTGCTGGGAGCTTCGTATCCGCTGTATCATGCCGACCTGGCCACAGGACTCCGGGGCAGTCAGTGTTAGAACGCACTGCGTGCTGCAGGTAAGCAACCTGCTGGAGGCCCACAGGCTACAAAGTGGTGGGCCACGGAGAGGACACAGACTTCTCCCTTGCTGTGACTGGGAACGTGGATCGGCCGTGTGCTCTGTGGAGAAGCAGCTGCTTTCTCTGACTTGCCACACTTTGTTTTTGAATAAAGGGAACAGGGCCCGTGGTGGTCAAGGGACGCATAACAGGACTGACCGAAGGCCTGCACGGATTCCATGTCCACCAGTTTGGAGATAATACACAAGGTGAGTGTGCTGCTCTGGTGACCCAGCCAGCTAAGGTACAAGGATGCAGTAGAGTCAGCCTGAGCAGTAAGAACTTGAACAAGTTTATTTTTTTTAAATGCTGCTAAAGTCAGCTTTAAGGAGATCAGCTCCCAAGCTGTTCTTTGACTCCTGGAGTACAGAAAGGAAGGGGAAGGAGTTGTGTTTTATTTATTTATTTATTTTTTCAGTCATGAGTGTCTGTTACAGCTTCATGAGATTTTGTTTTCTGTTTTTTACAATGCAATGGAAAATTAGAAAACAAACAGAATTGGCTCCTTTCTTATCCTTTGGTAACACTCCCAGGTGATTTATAAGCTGGGTTTGAGGATGGTGCTTCAAGTCCTGGGTTTGCATTTGGTTGCATTACATTTATAAGAATAGCTCTACCCCCCGACACAAAGACCTGAGTGGGACGAGTAACTTAGAATGTTGGCTGTTGGTGCCTTGGGGAGTGAGTTTCCCTGTTTGGAGACTGGAAGCAAGTGAACAAAAGTCTGTTGTGTTTAATTTCATTTAGTGACTTTTTGCCATGTTTGAATAATCTGAAGTTAACAGACTTAGTATGAGAACTTGATTCATTTTGCTAAAATTTGCTTTTATTGTCACATAATTTTGTTCCGCATACTGATTTACCTATTTGAGTAATTACTAAAAATCTCCACCTTGGTTCCTGGTTTGGTGGGTACTGTGTAGCTTTGACTTGTGCTGCTTCTTACAAGCTGCCTGTGTCTCTGTGGGTCTGAGCTGTGGGGTGCACAATGGAAACTTGCCACTGGCTGCTAAGCCAAGCCATGTCAAGAAAGGACCTGCCACACTGCAGTGTTGTGTTCTGTGTGAGCGGCATCCCCTGGTACACAGGAGTGCCACTTACACTGGATACAGCCAGAACGCTGCCCCCTGGAGGTGGGTGACAACAGCAGCCTTGGCCCTTGGCCACAAAGCGCTGTTTTGCACCAAGTCACAGATAGGAGAGCTGCTTGATGTATGCTGTGGGGGCAGTGAATTTTTTGGGGTTTGGGTATGCTACCTTCTTAAAAGCTAGGGTCATGACCCTGGGGTTTTAACAATAAAAGGGCTGTTGAAGATCAATGTGGCCTCCTTACCAAAGAGGCCAAAGTCTAGAAAAGGGTGTTAACTTTGCTAGTGTCAGACTGTAGTTAGAACTTGGTCTTTTGGGGCCAGTGCTGTGGCATAGGGGGTTACACCACCGCCTATGATGCCAGCATCCTATATGGTTGCTGGTTCAAGTCCTAGCTGCTCCACTTGTGATCCAGCTCCCTGCTAATGGCCTGGGAAAGCAGCTGAGGTTGGCCCAAGTGTTTGGGCTCCTCCACCCACATGAGAAGACCTGGAAGAAGCTCCTGGCATTGATGCCATTTGTGGACCAGTGTATGGAAGCTCACTCTGTTTCTCTGTATAACTTTGCTTTTCAAGTATCTAAATCTTTAAAAAAAAAAAACAAAAACACAAACAACAAACGTCTCTGCTGCGTGCTCACATTGTTTATGCTAAAGTGCTGCTTCCTATTTTGTTAGTCCTGAAGTCAGGATGTAGGTTGGTGCTGGAGATTTCAGCAGTGGTGATGATTACGAGTTTGGCATGTTGACACATAAGTTAGCTGTTTTTCTCTTTTAAATAGGCTGTACGAGTGCAGGCCCTCACTTTAATCCTCTATCCAAAAAACATGGGGGACCGAAGGATGAAGAGAGGTGAGCAGCAAGATGCATGGTTATTAATGCATTGATGTCCACGGCGATGGGTATCGGGTTGGTCGGGTACACTGCTAGGAAATGGCATGCTGGGATAAGTGGTCACCCTCCTCCTGCAGCAGCCGGCTGGCGCCCTGGGCTAAGGAGTTGACAAATGGGGACACTTAAAGCAATTTGGTTTTGTAGCATTTATTGAATACAGAACTAATACAAGTGCCAAAGGGAACTAATACAGGAAATGCCATGAGTAACAGTACTGTCAGCCAGTAGCAAAATAAATCAGCATTCTGAAACAGGAAGATTTTGCAGGTAAAAATGTGACAGTGAAAACTGATGAGATTCCATTTGTACATAAATGTCCTCCGAACGCCTTTCAGGAAGATGCAACAAGACAAGGATTAATTTATAAGAGGTCTGAGGGCAATAGTTACTGAACATAACTCAGTCACTGAGTTTACCCCTTGGTAACTGACCACTGAGATCAGAGGTACTTTGTAGACTTGAAGCCTTGATTGAAGAACTGTCTAGAATGCCTACTTAGTTTGTTTCCAAAATTATATCAAGCTGGGGAAGTGGGTCTTTCATGCTGTCTACACCATTTAGCCCAACCCTCATATACTTAGTAAAGTTTTAATTTAGCCCATGCGGTGTCCTGATGTTAAGTGGAAGGCCGTCCTGATTGCTCTGATGCTTCTTCAACATTAGGCACGTGGGCGACCTGGGTAATGTGACTGCAGGCAGCAATGGTGTGGCTGATGTGTTAATTGAAGATTCTGTGATCTCACTCTCGGGAGATATGTCCGTCATTGGCCGCACGCTGGTGGTAAGTTTGCGTGTAGTACGGGTGGGCATGGAGTTTCTTCCAACACTCAGTCGTGTATTTTTCCACAGCTTCCTAATAGTTTGTTTTCTAAAGGTCCAAATACATTGTGCTGTTGGGGCAGGTTAGAAAACTGGATGAAAGCTTAGAAGTAATTTATTTCGGTCATTTAATAACACTGTAGTGGTAAGATGTGGATTACACTGGTCATCCTAGATCTGAATGGGGAAACAGAACCAGTCATTAGTTTTGAATTGGCCACATCTTGCCACAGTTGGTCTCCTTCCTTGTAGTTAAGCAGGACATCTCATTGGGTCCACACTCCGGGATGGACGTCAGCATTAGCACTCACTCAGGGCTGCAGGCTGTCACCGCTGAGGTCGCCATCTGCAGCACCTCGCCTGCTCCTGAGGGCGGGACATTGTTGTCACTTCCTTCAGGTCACTCTCAGGATTTTCTTCAGCCATAGTTGTGAAGTGGGAAATCACTTAAAAATGTTAGATGAACAGAAAATTTAAAGTACTGTTGCTGAATGGTTTATTTTTAGGATTCTTATAGACTTGTGACGTTCATTAGGCATGAAATTTTGACATGTTTACTTTCATTTGCCTTTTTTTAAAAAGCAATTTGTACTTTTATGACTATTGTAGCTAAGGTTATTAAGTTTATTATGGAGGAGTAGGAGCTGTGGTGTAGCCTGTAATAAATGGTGGTTTTCCATGTTTTGAGAGAGTGCAACGCTTACCTAGCATTTGGCATGTCATTGCTCCACCCAGAGTGAGCCTGGAGTAGTAGTTGCTCCTTTTAAACTGATGAATTAAATGTTAGCGGTTCCTCTGCTCGGCAGATGATTTTTGACATTGACGTTCATACAGTCTTTGGGAAGAGGTGTTAATTACTTGATAGCCCAGTTACACGTTCTTAATATTTCTTAAAGGTCCACGAGAAAGAAGACGACTTGGGCAAAGGTGGAAATGACGAGAGTACAAAGACCGGGAACGCCGGCAGTCGTTTGGCCTGTGGTGTCATTGGGATCGCCCCCTAAACATTCCTGCCATGTGGTCTGAGTCCCAGGAGCTCATCTGTTAGCCTGCTGGTTGTAGACATGTAACCTGATGCACATTAAACACTGTCACCTGCAAGTGTCATGCAGTGATGTTTCCTAAGTTGCTTTCAGTACCTGTGGTGAAACTGATTTCTGAATCCTTGGAAGATTTGTATGGTTTTATAAAACTCATATTCAATTAAAATGTCTGTTTGATGTGTGTATTTTGCCAGACTTAATTACCCGTGCGTGTACACTGATTGTCTGAATTCAGTTCTGCAGCCCTGTGAATAAACACTGTGTGGCACTTCTTTCGAGCCTATTAAAGAATCCAAACTGAAAACCCGAGTTAGCGCTGATCCTCATTTACTCCGAGCTTGAGTGGAACAGATTTCGTAATACTGTTTGATAGCACCCCACAGGCACAGCTCAGACGCATAGGCTGTCTATGCTAGCTTTACTTTACAAATGCTTAGTCACTTCGCATTTTCATTCATGTAAAGGACTTAAGAAAGTTTATTCTTTAAAGTAGATAGTCTTTAGCAAACCTGTGAAAGGCAGGTGGCAGCCTTGGTTTGCAAGCAAGGAGATTTGAGGCTAATTTCTCTACCTGCCAGAATGGTACATGTTCTATTTTAGAGGTTTGCTCCAGGAACAAGTGACCATCCTGATTGTTCAGAAATATACCACGTACCTTATGCAATATAGCAAATCACTTAGGAGAGAAAAACTCAAGGTAGACTGACAGTAGCATGTTCTCGTTCTTTAAACTGCTGAATAAGTGCTCATAGTGAGTGGTTAAAATGGGTATTTACAAACAGTAACAGGCTCACTACTGTTTGCACGGGTAAGGCCTGTACGCTACCAGTATGTTTTTCACATGCAAACAGGGTGGTGTCAGTACTTTCCAGTTGGAAATGGCGGCCTTGGATCCTCAGTCTCCACACCACGGATGAGACGTTTCTCTTCAGAAGCAGTTTCGGTTCGGACTTTTAACACTTTCTCCAGGAGAGGTTTTAGCACTTCAGTCCACACACCTTCCCTTACTTTCTAAAGTCAGGAGTACAGGAACAGTGCCCTGGGTAGAATGTTTCCCTGGAAAAACTGCACAGCACTATTTAAAATCAAAGCAATAAAGCAGCCTGGGGGTGAGGGTGAAGAATGAGTTAACTGCTTATCAGTACACTGACACCAAGACAGCTTTAAAAACAGTTTTGGAGAAAAAGCTTCAGAAAGGCCATAAATCCTTGGGAAGGTGTGACACAGGTGGTGGCACTGGGACAGCAGTTTATGAAGCTGCTTTACTGTCAGGCTTGATTTGGCTTTGGATGTCCTTGTGTGATAGTTCTTAGGTTAACAACTCTTTCTCCTAGTTTAACTCCCTAAATTTGCGCCAAAACAGGTGAAAGGCATGTTACGGGGCAGAAAGTCTGGTCTACCTCTCCCCAGCAGTGCAGTCAAAGGTGGCAAAGAAAGGCAACAGGCAAGGCTCACAGGAAACAGTTACATTTAAGTCCTTAAACATTCAGAATATCAGACAAAAACCTTTTAGTTGCAAATGTTAACCTTGATTTTTTACCCTTTTGAAGATTTTAATGGGATGGTAAAAAAAAAAAACAAAACAAAAACCAATTGTCTACATAATACCCAGGCGATCAGGTAAGTACAAGGTGTAATGTGGGGGTCCAGCTTTTCCCCAACAAACTCTTTACAAGTAAGGACAACATTTATGATAAAGCCAGTGGGCGGGGAACCTTGATTAAACTGCAAACACAAGCTTTTCAATGAACATAAAACCACTAGCCTTCACTGTATGATTGCAATGCGAAGAATCAAAAGCATTACAAACGAATTTTGAAAATAACTACATAAAAAATGTCTACTTCCATCAGGTAAGTCCAACAGCTCAAACTGATGGTGAACAATCCTTTCCCCACCTTAGTGCAGTGTAGGAAGAATAGCACACATTAAAGTTTGTTACGAAAATAGAGTTTATTAAAAACATCCCTATTGTTTTGAGGAGCTTTCACCATTACCTTGTCTTAAATTAAAAAAAAAAATAGCACTTCTAATTACGATTTGTAAACTTTTTAAAGTCAAAACTTTTAAAAAGTTACAGCAAAAGGGGTAATATTTTATTCATATTCTCAGTATTTTTTGTTATTTTGTGGCTATTTTTAAATAGAAGGGAAGCAATCAAATTGCTTACAGTTCCCCACCGGCTACTGTGGGGCTGTGATGTAGCAGGAGCAAATATAATACAGCATCTGTACACCCCAAGCTCTACACTCCACGCGTCACTGTCATATCCACAAGTTCCAGTCTCTAACGAGGAGCCTCGGCTGCTGAGCCAGAATCCTTTTCGGGTTCAACGGATGAGGTAGCCTCAGCAGGTGACTCTTCAGGAGGTTTTACAACTGCAGACTCGCACTCGCCCTTATCAAGTTCTGCACCAGTGTCTACATTTCCCACTTGGCTAACGGCAGGCTCAATGGTTCGGTTCCCACCTGCCCTGTCTGCCACCTCGGGCTTCTCCTTTCCTCGGCTTTCTTCCTTCTCTCTACGAGACTCCCTATCTCTAGAATCTCTCTCTCTGTCTCGGTGCCCGCTAGAGCGTCTACTTCTCTCTTCCAAGTCTCTGTGCCTGTCCCGGTCAGGGCTCCTCCTTCCCCACTCTCTCCTTTCACGGTTACTATGATCTCTATCATCATTACGGTTCCCATACCGTTCCCGGTCATTTTCCACCCTATTTCCAAAAGATCTTCTTCCAAACCTTTCTTGGTCTCTACCTGAATTGAACTGCTGCTGCCTGTTTTCATTTCTAAACTGCTGCTGCTGCTGCTGCTGCTGCTGTTGCGGCGGCTGTGGCTGCTGAGCTGGGGGCGGCTGTTGTGACGGCGGCGGTGGCTGCGGCTGTGGCGGAGGCGGCTGCTGCTGCTGCTGTTGCTGTTGCTGCTGCTGCTGCCTCCCATCTCTGTCCTCAGGACCCCCTGGGCCTGGCCCTGGGCCCCCCAGCCCTGGCATTCCCCCAGGCCTAACGAAGGGGCCGTGTGGTGGGAAGGGGCCTTTCATTCCATGAGGTGGAGGCATGGCGAAGCCCCCCGGTCCCGGAGGTGGGCCTCTGTGCATCATGTGTGGCGGCATGGGGCGCGGGGGCATCAGAGGAAATCTCTGCAGGTGAGGCGGCGGCATCCCGGGAGGGCGCTGGAGCGGGATCAGGCCGGGGCGGGCGCCAAGAAGACCAGTCGATGGGGCCTGGAGCCCGATCACAGGGCCAGGGGCCACTCCTTGAGTGCCTGCAAGACAACAGTAGTAAAAATGTAAGCGCCACGCAAGGTGTCATTCTACTTTGAGCTGTTTCCTGTGGAGGAGTTCAAAGAGATGAAAGTCAACCCAGATTCTTCCAATTCCATGATGTTTGCCAGCCTGTCACAGCCCCAGTCATAGCCCAGGGCTCGTTTTTCAAGTATCTTCTATGGGTAGAGGCCTTTAACAAGCTGAAAACTTTTTTATACCAATTTTTTCAAAGAGTATGGCAAATTCTCCTGGTACCTTCACTGGGAGCTCTGCCCCTCAATTCCCCCCTCTCCTGCCCCTGACACTTGACACACTTGAGAAACAGAAGGTGCCAGGTCCCCCGGACTCCAGGGACTGGCATAACTATGTCAATCAACTGAATGGGATTTCAGCTACACTCTTACAAAATCGTAGACTCTAAGTGTTTTATTTTTTTTTTTAAATCCGAGAGTGAGAGGGTGCTGACAATTCCCAGTTCACTCCCCATACGCCTGCAATGGTTTAGGCTACACCTGAGTGAGGCTGGGAGCTGCTAACTCCATCCAGGCTCCCTACGTGGACGGCAGGGACTGAAAGCCTAAGCACTGCTGTCTCCCAGGGTCTATTAAAGCAGCAAGTTGGAATGAGCTGCTAAAGCTGGGAACTAAACCCAGGCACTTCAATACGCTACGTGGGCATCCTAACCAGCACCAAGTCTTCCAGTAGGTCAAATGCCCACTCTGTCTTGACTACTAGGACTAGGTCATGGACCTAGAAAATCCAGGGTTAATCCCATGCTACACTTAGTCTGCATTATTAAAGCATCTCACGCATCATTTAAACAAATAATTTACAACACAAAGACCCCCATACAAATGTCTTATGGTTCCTTTTTCAACACACGGCACAACCTGTAACCTGCCTAGGCCAACATGACTGCGGAATAATGCTGAGTGTTCAGCCATTCACCTTCCACTCATTCTTCAAAGTAACGGCGATATCCTGGTTTTATTCTCCCACTCCCCAAGGGTTTGCTCATTTGACATGAAGGTCACTCAGGTTCACAACCCATCACTGCCAACTATGAGGGAAAGATGTAAGGACGTGCTGCGGATCACCAGGTAAGTGACAAAGGCGTCACCGTGTCTCCATTTCTTTCTTTACAAATGTACATATTCTATGGTAAAGGAAAACCTTCCAGATGTTGTCAGAATGTGCTACTGATCCAGGTACTGCAGAAGGGTCTCTGAGCAAGAGATGGGTTATGATGACCAGTCAGCAACTTGAGAGAAATGCTTGCATGACACTGACAGAAAAGCAATGTGGGACTTTAGTTCTAAGTCCTTTCATCTTCCCCAGCACCTTCCTATTCTGGGATTTTACAACTTCTTCCTCCCTCCTGCTGTACCAAACCAACAAATCCTGTATGCTTCCTTAGTTTCTGGATAAAAAGTTCATACTACTTTGATAAACAAGAATTTCTATTTCAGTTTTGCTGTTCATAATATATGGCTCAATACTGTTCTGTCAGATGGTAACCACTAATGTGGACCTGGAAAAGTACTTACACCACCAGTCTGTAACTTTGGCATGAAGGGTCACTTGCCTCAGCACTGAATCAAACAAAATACCCTTTTTAAAAATGTCAAAACCAACTTGGTGATAGTCTTACTCAGGAGTTTTCTTGGGTATGTGCCTCAGTATTTGTGGCTTATAAAATGATCCTAGTTATAATACCTGTCGCTTGCTGAGGTCAAATGGGATAAAATACCCAAGAGTGAGCTCAGTGTACAGCCTGGCTAACTGCTGCAATGATTACTGCACACATCTGTTTAAAGGGGATACATCTTCTCTATCACTAACTACTTAACTACAAAAATGAACATTTTTCATTTCTGATCGTTAACATCTCAATTCCCCCTGTTCCCTCAATACCCACCATCGTGTAGCCACTGAGCGTGTGAATGTCAGGTCCAAGGTTGAACACTGCTGATCAGCACAGCCCTTCGCCAGCCACTGAGATGGATACAGGAGGTAATGGCTCAGCCCATCACAAACTCCCAGCAAGGGATACAACCAGGACCACCACCTACACCATTCCTCTGATCAAAATGAACTCAGTGGCCAAGGGAAACACTGTTCATAATGTTCAGTGACTATTTCCTGAGTCTATCACATAAACTTGGACAACCGAAGCAGCCAAGACATGTCCCTGCTTCCACTTTTTAAGGGAAGAGTCCCAGCATTCATGGGCTTTAACTCAAAACAAACAATGTACATTATACATGCTGGGTACAACCTTTCAATAGCAGTCCCAATACACAAACTGAACTTCACTTTCCCATAATCTTTTATTAGAAGTGGAATATGTGTATCCTATTAAGAAGGCCAGTGTTGCACATTCTGGTGCCAATGCCAGTTATTAAGTAATCCAAGAAAAAAATCAGAGGATTTCAATGTATCTTACAACATGAGAATTGAGTTTTCAAAAGGAAACAGCAAATTTGGCAGAGCAATAGGTTAGAGTGGCAGTCCTATCTCCCCATGATGCCCTGGTTTCAACTACCGATGACAGTGGCCTAAGGACACAAGGCCATCTGCCTGGCTTGAGGGTATACACACATTTGTATATATACATAATGACTTTATTACTGACCGAGTAACCCACTATATTCCACTGGTATATACAGACTGATTTAACAGGGTTGAATATTATTGAGTCACATACTTGAACCTTCCACAAAGCACCATATTTTTCACAAAGAAAAAATTGTCTACTTCATTTACTCCATATATGTGGATATTTGTATTTGGGGTTTGCTTAAAATACTGTGCACTCACAAACCCTCTTTTGCATTTTAAGTCTCATGCTTGAAAGATGCATCCGGCTAGATTTACCTTTAAACGCTTTATGGACCACCAAAACTTATTCCCTAATATTCCTGTATTCCCAAGTGGCCTTCAGAACACAGACACAGATGACAGGGGCTGGCACTGTGGTGCTGCCTGTGACACTGCATCCCAGAGGAGTACCAGTTCAAGTCCTGTGGGCTGCACTCTTGATACCGCTCCCTGATAATGCACTTGGGAAAGATGGCCTGAATGCTCTGGCCTCTGCACCCACATGGGAGCCCCAGGGGAGTTCCTCACTCCAGCTTTGGCCTGGACCAGCCCTGGCTACTGCCCCCATCCTAGGAGTGAACCAGCAGATGGAAGCCCTCACAGTCACGGTCTCTCCTCTCTGAAGCTCTGTCTTCCAAATAGGTAAGTCTTAAAAAAAAAAAAAAAAAAAAAAAAAAAAGAAGCTATAAAATTAGCAATAGTTTTGGATTATAGCAAGAATAATCTGTGTGCCAACAGCGATTATGAAATGACTTAAAAACTTATCTGAACAATTTTTTAAAAGCAGATTATGGATTTCTCTGTAGTTTTTTACACTTCTATAGTGAACACATATTACTTTTCTAATAAGTTATATATGTACCAGGTGGCAGAAGCCTTTGGTAGGTATGCTAGCTGAAACATTAGGGGAGTTGGCATTATGCATATACCAGTGGAATACAGTGAGTTATTTAGTCAAATGGGCATTCAAGGTAATTACTCAGTTTCTCTGGAAGCATGATGGATATGCAATGCACTGACAAGTTTTCTAAAGTTAATATGACTTAACATTTTTTGCATAATAGGCTGGGGATTCAAATAAAACCTGGTTGCTCTCTTCAAAGTAGACAGTCTAGCAGAAGCAAATTCCAAATGCTGACGGATAAGATACAGGCCCGTGTGGCCACACAAAGGTCGAAGTGACACAAGCTGGTGTGTGAACCAGAGAGCTAAGGCAGAGGGGAGATGGGCTGCAGAGGAATGGGATAACATACTAGGCCACCGTGAGTACCGGGGGATGTTGCTTGTCACAGCTTCTGAAAAACCTTAGCAAGGTGAAGCAGTGAAGTGTTCACAAAAACGACAGAATGACTTTGGCTGAAAACTGGGCAAAACACAAAGGAAGAGGTTTTTGTGGCGAATGAGGTGGGCCAGAGCGATTCAATAAGGCCTTTACGGCATGACAAGGAACCTGGACTCTGAAGTAGGGGAAAGCATTCATGAGTTCTGAGCAGGGATGAATGGTCCCGTTTGTGCAGTGAGCCAAGGAGGGTAGGAGCCTGGAGGGCATCTGGGCTCTTAATCCAGACAGTGACAAGAGGACTAGAAGTGCCAGGGACTAGCAACAGACTTAAGATGTTGAATGGGCAGGATGACAGGGTTGAAGAGATGAACACACCTCTCAGCAAGTAAGTGGATGGAGGTGCCAGTGCAGGGCTGGGAGACAAGTTGAGTCACAGGGGCTTGGGCTGCCATGCCCTCAGAAGGTAAGAGTTGCATGCTAACTCACCAGCGTACACGCAAAACCCAAAAGCTCAGACCTGGGAAACATATCTGAGAAGACCTTGAAATTCCTAATACAGCAAGGCTTCAGGGCAGACCAAAGAAATGATAGTCCCAAATGTCCAAATTTAAATTTGAACAGTTTAATATACTGGGCTTATAACTCAAAACAACAGGTTATTTCCTACAATGATCCAAACAGTGGACCTCAGAAATTAGAGTGGGGATTTAGCCTGATGGGTTAAGCAGCTTGCATCCCACACAAGAGTACCTCGGGGTTGACCTCCAGCTCCAGCTCCCAACTCTAACTTCCTACTATATAGGTAAGTGATTGAGCTTCTTGCCACCCAAATGGGAGACCTCATTTGTGGTTCCAACCCTCGCCTTCAGCCTCAGTTCTTGTGGATTTTTGAAGAATGAATTAATGGAGCTTCCTTTCTCTCAAATACATAATATTTTAAAGTTTTTAAAGTAAGGGTGGGAGGATACCAGTGCCATTTATTAGCAAAGGTATTTGGGATTACGTGAAGTTAAGAACAAGTTAAATAGATACAGGGAGTGTTGGGTGTGTGTGAGGGATCTCTAGGCTGGAGTCCTGCAGGAACTGCAATTTCAGCAGCATGCAAATAAGCACGCG